ATGAAAAAAATAAGATGTGGGTATACTTATAAAAAGTTAGGATATATATATGTATGTGTGTGTGTGTTGTTTCTTTTTGCTTAAGCCCTTTTAAATGTGGTACTTGCTACAATGTGTGTGAGTTTGTTGTGAGCCTTGTGAAACATGTGTCACATGGGGGATGATAATTACTTTTTCATGATATTGATATGGACCTAATCCTCCGCTTGATGTATATGTGTTGTTTCTTTTTACTTAATAGGAACATGACTTAAACAAGTCTTGTATGGGTAAGATGATTGAATGAGTAATGATGTATGTATGGATTAAGTGTTGTATACATAAGATTTGTTTCTTTTCTAGAGTGAATAAACCCTTTGAATAAAACTGAGACATCTAACTTTCCAAAAGAACAAATTTCAAAATATTTATCGATTTTAATAATATTAATGATTTTAACATTAGAGGAGTTGAGAGGAAATAAGGAGAAGGGAAAATATGTGTATGTTTCTAATTTATTTGATGAATTGGTATTGGCTTTTGTCATATTCAACCCTTCTATTTGATTCAAATTTTGGAGCAACAGATGACATGAGTGCAATGTTTGGTGCCGAAGAGGGATGATCCAAGCTTGTTGTGACTCACAAACATTGATGATGTGAAGAAGTTGCAAAGTTGCAGCAGCTGTTATGAATTATGATGATTTTAATTTGGTGTAACTAGAATTGATACTAATGATTTTGAGATTAAATTTAATTATTAATCATGTTTTGATTTTATATAATTGAATTTATGTCGTTATGTACAATAATCCATAAATAAGCAGTAATTTCTTCTTTAACGGATAGAGGGTTAATTATGTCATACATTCTATGCTCTGATGTGATTGATTGTGTAACACAGTCCCTTGGTTTGATAATATACATTTCAATTTGTGTAACTAACTCTATTTAATTCTTGTATTTTTTTTTTCTTTCCGCTACATTTCATTTTGTGTGACTAGCACAATCTCTTGCTTGATTGCATTTGCTTCATTAAAAACAGCCCACCACCCAGCCTTGTGTAATGTTTAAGTCTAACTTTTCGATTAAAAATATGCACAAGAATTGCCCTAAAAAACTAGTCAGATATCATATATCATACACCATGTAGAGCCAAGCAATACAGTGAGAAATAATAATAACAATAATATGTTCATTTAGCTACACAGTAAATCCATATGATTTATGCAGTAGTAATTTCAGAAAGAAACCACAAGTTAAGAATCCAAGGATAGATGAGTATTTTGAATCTCATTCCCACCACCACTACATACCAGACCTCCAATAAAACTGGACAATTCCTCCTAAGTTAGCATAATATATATAAACCATCACCTTTTGCGTTTAAGGCTCTTCAAATTCTTAAAAATATAGCTAATAACCTCCTTCAATGTAGCTTTCCTATTGTCTTTAAAGTTCCAAAGCTCATTCACAACATATCTCCCACTGGGGTTATACTCATTCATCTCCTTGAACGCCCCAACCACTGCATCAAACACCCCATCCCCCCATTCTGCCTTGAGATTCTTCAACAACTCATCCTCTTCATTTATCACTTCCTGCATCATCATCACCATCATAAATTAATTAATAACAACATTCATGATTCATCCCTAAATTTAAGACTATAAACATAAGCACAGCATACCTTATGATTATCAGCATCTACTTTAACCATTTTCATGGGATGCCACTCTGGATTTTTAAGCTTATCCTGCCACAAAGAGCATAACTCAGACGCCTTGATTTGAGCTTCTTCATTATCAAACCTCTCTTTGCAGGCATCATGGAATGCCTTCATATCAATTTCTCCCATCCTTTTCACACCAATATTTGTTCTCCCACTCAGCATATCCTGCAATCCCTGAAAACCCCAAAACCAATAACAACTAATTCATATACCTATTCAAAAACATTAATGGAATTCATTCAGTAGAAATATTACTTTAATCAACACTTTGCGAGCTTCTTGCAGCTCATCATTACTCTGGCGTTCCTTCACCACAAGTGTTTGATTCAAATTCTCCATGTTCTCCATTTCTTCCATTTTTGTTTCCAGCTCATTGTTCATCTCCTTAATCTTCTCCTGAACAGCAGCATCATCTTCATCTCCTAAATGCTTCATAACCTGCAACTTCCCTTTCAATTCTTCAATTTCCATCTCCAATTTCTGTTTAGCATCCAGCTGTCTTTCCAACTCAAGCACTTTCTTCAGAGCCTCCTCTTTCTCTCTCTGCAATTTCCAATTCAACTCAACAAAACTTGTTATAAACAAACACATATAATAACAATTTCTTACAGATTTACCTTTTGCTCTTCAACCAGTCTTAACACACTCTCATCAGCTTTCTTTTGCTCAATGGAAGCCATGTGCAGAGAGTTGTTTTGCACGTCATTCTGAATTTACAAAAAGGATGTCAACCACAAAATATAATGATGTTTAAGATGATATGTTAAGGAATACAATCACCTTTTTTTTCTCTTCATCCAGCTTTTGTTTCTCCCTTTCTGTTAGAGCTTCCCTCTTGTTAAGCTCTTTACTCCATGAATCAAGCTTTTTCCTCCTTTTCTCCAAGTCAGCATTCAACATTTCTTGTTCATCCAACACTCTTTTCACATGCTCACGTGCAAGGCGCTGCATCTTTCTTGTCTCTGGGTAGGGACAAGATTGTCATCTTAGCATAAAACTTAACATAATCTTAGAAAATAGAAAAAAAGGAGTAAAGAACCTTCATAGAAAGCTGAATGAAGGCTGTCTTTTTCTTCAAGCATTCTACTCAAAGACATTGTTTTTTGGTTGTATTTAATCTGCAAGTCATCGAGATTTTCATTCCTCGTGTCAATTTCACTGGTTAATTCCACAACTGCCTTGTTTCTTGTCTGCATAGCTTCTTGAACAAGGTCTGATATGGTTTTGAGTTCACGATTCTTGCGTAGGAAATCTCCAATTGCCCCTTGTGACTCAAAGTCATTTGCACGTGCAAGCCATGCATAAATACTTGAACCAGAGGATTTATCAGAAGCAACCCACTCTCTCTTGCTATGGTGATTAGCCTCAAAAGATTTCTCAAACTCCATAGCATTTTTAAACCCTGTCCAATCATTGTTGAATCTGACTAAGGCTTGAGCAGTTGTCTTTTCCTCATCCCAAGATATCTCAACCACTTCAGGTTTGTATTTTGAGAACCTCTTCATCCAGTATTCAGTGCTTTCAATAGCTTCCTCATTCTCGGGATCTTTGACTATATTCACAACTATCCCAGTCCATGGCCAGCAAAACAAATCATTTTCTTCTGAAACAGGAGCAACAGGTTTGGGCTCAGCCACTTTTGGTGGTTGTTCAGACTCATGGGCCAGATCATGCTCCAAGTAGATTGCTAAAGCAAGATGATTCGCCTTCTGTTTTGCACTTCTGTTAGAAGACCCTTTGCCTACCCCTGAAGCATGTTGATGCAGGTCTTTGTACTTGAAGTTTTGCTTCTTTTTTCCCGCACAGAAAGGACACCTCAGTATACCATTCGGGTATTTAACCTTTAAGGTTCCATCTCTAAGTTGCTCTAAGGGTTTGTCTTTGTACTCTGCAATCTCTGACTCACTGAAGTCAGATTCTTCTCCAGAGCTGTGATCCATCTACCTTGGAAACAAAGACAGAATACAACTTGATAAGATCTTTTGAGACATTTAAAAGAAGCATTGAACAGAATAAGGAAATGTAAGTTTTAGATATAAGAACACTCATATACTGCATATCCTAAACACATTCTTACTAAGTAGTAAGATTACATATTGAAGCATAACAGCATCCTCGCTATGGTTAGAAGAGGAAAAAGCTAAGGTAGCTTTATTTTCTTTGCTAAATTAGTACGACTACCGATACGTAGAATCAAAACCTTCCTATAACGAAAATAAAACCCTAAATTACCAGGCCAGACAAAAATGCACGAAGAATAGAAGAGATTAAGTTGTAATCCACAGGTTGGAGAAGACATAACATCAATAATCATCGAGAAACACCTGATCTTTCAGTGGTTAAAGAATTAAAAAGAAAACTACGAGAAAACGAAATGTACCACTCGAGAATACTCGGTAAGCGGAAACACCTGCGTCCGTCAACCAGTGGAGTGAGAGAAACACCGTAAAGCGATCGGTGAAGATGAAGAAAAACCCTAAAGGATCGTACGGAAGAAATTCCTTTCGCTTTTGTGCGTGTGTGTGTATGCGTGTGACTTTGGGGAGACGATGTGCAGACTGGAGATACTAGGCTCGATAGAGTGACATGTAGGAGCGAGAAAATGCTCGCAGGTGGATCACATAACTCACATCTCACAGTAAACATTGGGCTGTTTAATTGTATTCGAGGCCCATGCACCAAATATCTATTGGATTGGATACTTGAGACCCAATGAAGAATCAAGTTTCATGAGCCAGTTACTATTGGTAGGACATATTATTGGTAGGACATATGATAACACCATTCATGATAAGTGATTAATGTTGAGGAAAGATACATTTAATAAAGGTATGAAAACTTCAACTTATATGAAAATGGTATAGAAAAGGAGAAGGCATGAGCTGAGAAAAGAATCCGAGGGAGACGTGACACCTTGTAGTGACTCAATTGAGGATTTTATTTTTATGTGTCTGTTGAATCAAAGATAATATTATTGGATAGAGTATGATATTGGGATATACTGAACATATGAAATGGTATGTATTAAAAAAAAAAAAGACAAATTAATTTTAGTTATGGCATATGGCTAGCAATATAATAAAATTTAAGGTGACGAGGATGGTTTCGTATATAACATTGTTGACAGTAGTCAAATCATGATAATGTATGATTATGTGATCATGATGAAGAAGTTGATCTATCCTTTTATAACGTGTTTGTATGTTTACAACAATATTGAGGATGTAATATTGTTTAGAGGATGAAGTCGGTTTGGTTATGGTGATGACTTCTATAAAATAAGCATGTGTGTTAAGGTGTTGAAATACATGTAAAGATTATTATTGTGGGTTGCTCCATTGAAAGAATCGGTTAACCTAATATGTTAAAGTGATTGAAGGTTTGTTGTGAGTGATCTTTAATGGTACCAATTTTTTTTTGATGATGTGTTTTAGTCATGGAAATGTCATGTTTAAATTGGTGTCAAATTCTTGGAATTAGAGACCATCGATCTAAAGGCATGATTATGATGTTTTTTTGTTGAGAAAGTCTAATCCAAGGATGTTATAATGAGGATATGATGATTTTGGATAGAACTTTTAAGGAATATTTTCTTACTATCATATATATTAGACACAATGACATCATATTAGTGCTGAAAACCGGAATATAAAGTTCACCAGACCTTTCGGGAAGAGTAATGATAAGTGCTTAGAGTTGTTGGGTGATGCTTTGTGTTTTAAAGTATGGATTTTGCTCAATGATGTATACCACTATAGGATATCGGTAACGTGATATTTAAGTATTATATGTGCAGGATAATTTTTGATGAGAGGGTTAAAATATAGGAACATATGGAAAATGTAGCGAGGTTGTGTGTCCCATGTGATGTAGTTTGGTGATATCATCGTGGATACAAAAATGAGTAATATTCATATTAAAGACTTACCTTTATAATAATCAATATAAAGGAGTTATAATATGTGTTAGTTCATTTGATGAATGATGGATGGAGACGATGGATTTCAAGAACGGCTAAGGATAATTACTAGTTCGTTTTATGATGGAATGAGATAGAGATAAGTTATAAAAGCAGAAAACCGGACCGATGCCAAAATAGGTGTAACCAAAAAATACTTAAAAGGTCCAGGTATTGGGGTCTAAAAATTATTCTTATCCAGGTTCCGGATATTCCGAGTATGGGTCCGGGTATTCCGAATTTGTAAAAAGACCGGAAAAGGGTTTAATGGACCGAAACCGGTTTAGTTGACCAAGGAACTGGAAATTGCTGGTGTAACATCCATGGAATTTCAAAAAAATTTAAAACTTTTACATAAAATCAAAAACCATCATTTATTACATATTGTTTTCAAAATAGGTTTCACATCATAGTTTTTCCCGTAAATCATGACACGAATACGAGGAGGTGCACGATTAAGCCTTCGTCTTTCTGCAATCATCTAAAGTACCTGAAACATAACCAAAAACTGTAAGCCCATAGCTTAGTGAGTCTTCCCCAAAATATCATCACATAACATAACAGACAAAATCAAGCATGAATGAGCCTTTAGCATGACTGGACCGCTCCCGAGCCTTCGGCATGACTGGACCGCCTCACAGGGCCTACAGCCTATCCGGACAGCTCACCGGGCGTTCGGACTAACTGGACCGCCTCGCATGCCTTCAGTCTACCCAGACTGCCCTGTGTATTTTGACCTACAACACAAAGTAGGACCGCCTCAACCCACCCACACACACATGTCGATATATATATATATATATATATATATATATATATATATATATATATATATATATATCATAACCACATAATCAATTAACAAGCAAGCAAAGATCATACAGATCAATAAGCATAGCATCATCCTGTCTATCAGAATATAGATCTAACAGATCATAACAGCATAGCAACATCCTATCTACCAGGATAACCATCCAAAAAGGGTTGGCATTGGTGCCTTCGACCCAAAAGTACAGTGAGAGAAACTCACTTCACAAGTAGTGCTGAACCGGTAAAAATCCAACTCCAAAACTCAGCTTCGGACTCAAAAGCCTACAACCACCATATGACCAATTCTATCAAAACCCCGAAATAGCTAAAATGCTCTCAAAGTTAAACTTGGTCAACCATTGCCAAAGTCAAAGTCAATAGTCGAGGTCAACAGTCCATGTTGACCCAACTCGTCGAGTGCACATACCAACTCGTCGAGTTACTACAATACTTAGAAAAATGGGGAAAGCCCACGCCAACTCGTCGAGTTATCAGGACAATTCGCCGAGTTCCTACACTATCCAAAAAAGCGGGAAAACCCAAGCCAACTCACCGAGTTATCAGGACAACTCGTTAAGTTTTTCCAACTTAACTCATTCAGTCCTTTTTCACCCATCCTAATGATGAGTTTTGAGCAATACATCAATCATATGGTGCACATGCAAACCCTAAAGCTTTGGATCTAGGTTTATCTATTGTACATGTAAATTACCCAAACCTTACAAACCCTAGATCTAGCATACATAATCCAAAAATATCAAATAAAATAATTTTAGATGATTACCTTGATTGTAGATTGAAGATCTTTAGCTTATGAGAACCTAGTACCTTAAATGTGATGCCTCTAATGGATCACAAACACCAAAGCAAGTTGGATGATCTTGGAGAGAGAGTATGAGAGGCTCAAAATCGGCTCTAAGACTTCTTAGGGTTTATGATTGCGAGATCATTTATCATCTAGGGAAGGCCAATATGGTGGCCGATGCTCTCAGCCGCAAGTCGGTCACGACTTCAATTCGTGGTATATGCTTGAGGATGTGTAACGTCCCAAATTTCAAGTCCAAAAAATTTCAGTTTTAATATAACGATTTGGAAAACATTTATTAGAAAACATCATCAAGTCATATCATTTGTAAACCATAATCTTGTGTCTGAAAATCATATCATAAAAGTAGTAACATTGTCAGAGTACAATCCCAAGAAAGCTCGTAATGCGGAAATCCAATGTGTGTGTATGATGTGCAGCTACCACGCCGGCTCTTTCCCCTTCGTTGAAGAGGTACCTTAAACAAAACTGAAAATTGTAAGCATAAAGCTTAGTGAGTTCCCCCATCGTACCACATACCATACAATCATATATCATACATACTGTCGGGCAATTATAGGGTGCCCGACCTACCTGGTACGACCATTCTGGGGTGCCGACTTACCCGTGTCAAGCCATTCTGGGGTGCTGACCTACCCGTGTCAAGCCATTCCGGGGTGTTGACCTACCCGTCGGTCCTAACAATCGAACCTCGGGGACTATTACCCTCCTACTACCACTATCACATATAACATATCATGCCAGCATATAAACATATTATAACATATTGTCAGGCATATATGGGGTGCCCGACCTACCCTTCGGTCCTAACAACCGAACTTGGGGAGTATTTCCCTTCCTACTACCACTATCACATATAACATATCATGCCAGCGTATAACATATCAGGTAGTAGCAAACCTAGATGAATATCACAAAGACAATCATATAACATACAACTCCTACTGGTGGTCCGACATTGTGGGCGTAGATCCACTGTTACTGGAAGGTAACTCACCTCGTATGAATGAATGTTATCAATCCGAGTGAGAAGTCTCTGCCTGCTGCTCTGATGATTATTCGGCTATAATTCCCATAAAGACACTTAGTCAGAAGCTGATAACTACCCTTAGGGTAAAATAACTATTTTACCCATGGCCAAAGTCAATATCCTGGTCAAAGTCAACTTCTAATTGACCTGACTCGCCGAGTTGGGCCGCCAACTCATCGAGTCCCTATTCTTTCATCTGACCCCCTCCCGACTCTACTCGTCGAGTTTAGCAAAGACTCGACGAGTTCTCCTTCTATAATATCATCGAGTGAACCTTCATCCGACCCGCCGAGTTGTATGAACAACTCGTCGAGTCCATCTTCAAAGGGTTGGGAGATTGCCTTGGACTCACCGATTATGTTCATACACTCGCCGAGTCCTATGATTCTCAGGTCCATTGCTAAGTCTAATATGTTGAGTCACTCCCGTGGACCACTCTAAGACCCTTCTAACACTCAACTGGGTTCCTTTGAACCTCAACAACCTAAGGACTCAAGCCCTGGACTCGCCGAGTTCCAAGAACAACTCGACGATTCGGCGTTGTCCAAGTCTTATATCTCGATTTCTGATGTACAACATTCATCCAAAAGACATATCTGGGCTTCTAATGCTGATCTAGCACATAAAGTTATGAACTTTATGTGCATGCATGGGAGTATAAGGTTAATGGACCCAAAAATGAGTTCTAAAGGTGCATGTGACTCTCAATGGCTACAAGGTTGGCCACTTTAGGCCATGTAGTCCCCTAAGGACCCTGGATCTGGAGTCTTAGCCCCCAACCATGATTGCACTCATGATTGGTCACCAAAATGGTTCCAAAAAGCCCTAATTGACTCCAAAAAGGGATCTAGAACATGAATGAACAAGGTATAAGCTTTATACCTCTAAGGAACTGTGGATGCTGCACAAACTCAAAATCTTCTGGTTTCCTTTTGGCTCCTCAAGCTTTTCCTTATTTCTTGTGATCACAAACCACCAAAATCACCAAAAAGGGCCTTAGATCTCACAAAACGATTAGGGTT